AAACAGATTCAATTACAGTGGTAACCGCCTAAGAAAACTCTCTTCAGTATATATCTTTTAGGTGCATATGATATGACTTGGCAATATTCTTGCAGATTAAAGCATTTAATACTGCAGACCCCTAAAAATACAGTTCCTTTTTGCAATGAATAAGAAGCATAGGATTTCTCATCATGATAACGATGATATTCTGTTTAAAAGTAACAATCACAACTAAAGCGCTGTATCAGACTTCAAAAAGGGGATTTCAACAACTGTGAAATGTATCACAAAACTACTTACAGTGCCTTCTGCAGTCTGCCTCAGAAGTGCTGAAGGAAACAAGTATGACTGCTTATGAAGCGGATGATATTTCAAGAAAATCTAATTTAAAAAAATGAAAACATACCAACTGACAGTAATGAATAACCAATGGTAAACGTTATCATTTTGAACAAAATGTTTCTTCTGAAATACAGCATGTGTGTAAACCATTAATTCTGCCTTGATTAGAGCCAGCTCTGGAAAAAAATTGCAGACTGCTATATAAAAAATATGATCCCTGTCATACAATGAACTAAACAACAACACCATTTCACATGTACAGAAGACCTTCCTGCCAAGGATGAAATGATCACAAAGCTCCTTACAGGCATTAGCTAACTAAGCCTGATCACATCCCTACAACAGCGGTTAGTTGTTATGGCATTCTCTGCATACACAGTCAAATGAGAACAAATAGGTTTACACCCCAAGAGCTCCCTGTGAGTTAGCAAGTTGCTAGGAATACCACTCCGGGGTCCCGATTCCCTTATTTTGCTCTCACAGCTGGATCACTAAACTACTGTACTGTGTGAAATTCATCCAAGTGCAGAAATAGAAGAAATGTGATCCAGCTCAGGTGTTCTGAAAGTTACAGCAAGGCTTTAATTAATAAGAACTAGTAACATAGATAAAAACTGGGAAGGGAATTAATGTAGTCCTGATCCCCTTTCCCGCTTCATGTGCCTTGCACTGTGGAAATGGGACATAGTTCTCCATTGACAATTCCAAACAAGCTCTCAAGGGATGGTTTCTCATACAATTAGGAATACACAGTTTTTAATACTATGATTAATTCAATTTCTTGATGCTAATAGTTCGACGTCTTTGTTACAGTCCTTTTTTTTTTTCTTACCAGACTTCAAAACTTCATACAAAGCAGGCAAGTATCTTCAACTCCACACTATAGATAGGGACAGGGAGTCGATGAAGCAAAATGACTTAACGATCACCCCCAACTGTTGCCAGTGTTGGGAGTGAACCAAAGGCTCGGGAAGCTTAAGGTAGAAGACAAAAATGTAAACCTACCAGAGAGGCTTTATGCATCCATGCTGGTAAAAAAAATAAAGTAATAAAGGACAAATAAAGAACAATTTAAATAAGAAAACAAAAGAGAGTCATGTTGGTAACCGTAAATTCAGAGGAAGACCATTCCTGTTGTATTTTATACATACACTCTTAGCATAGGAGGTGGACATAAGAAGTGAAATGAGAAGAAAGAGGGTTTTATCCTCTACAAATGTAAATCCCCAAAATCTCTAAGGGTTTTCAACATAACAGGCTATTAGACTCATTCCAGCTGCTCCATGCTTCACCTGAACACTTTACACCACTTCTTGTTTTCCAAAGTTATACTGTGTGGCATCAGCTATTAAAGTCTCTTACTTTTTTCATTTTGGTTGATTCGGTTATGTTTTATCCTTGTCTCTTCATATCCAGTTCTTCCTCTTTTTTTTTTTTTTTTTTTTCCTTGTTTTTTCATTTCCAGTTTTTTTTTTTTTTTTTTTTTTTTTTTTTTAAATCTACTGATACTCAGGTTGCTATTTTTAAAGGTGTTTACAGACACTGGGAACATAAATCATACCTGCAATTGTCAAGCACTAGGCATTTAAGCCTTTTCAGTTTCTCTGACAATCTTATCCTTCAACTTTCTAATGCCCTGGTAAGTTACCACGCTGATCTCTTTTTCAAGTATGAATACACCAGACTTTCTCAACCTCCACATGCACACAGTGGATAGGAAGCAATCACCTGAGCCTTTTGTAAAGCAAGGCGGTGTACTCCTTAAGGGACATACCCCATTCTTCGATGTTTAAACTGAAGAAATGAGAGCATTTTCTGAAGTCTCTCTTTCACTTAAGTATGTCCAAAGAAAGGCAAAAGATAACACACACACAAAATACACAGCAGCCTCTATCAGCCTTCACGACAAAAATGTGGTGTCAGACTTGTGGAATAAAGGAGAAGGTCTACTAAGTGAGCAAATACATATATTTACTTGCACTTACAACTCAATCACAGGTGGTGGAAGGAACAACTGTCTGCAGAAAGACCAGATCTCAGGGCAACTGGGAAGAGTCAAGATGGCTCTACAGAAAGGCCCTGAAAATTCCTGCCAGATTTCGGTTACTACCCTCAACACCCTCCTAGGAGTCTTTCTGGTGGAAATGATCCCGGAGAGACCACCTAAGGGATGTCGAGTATTAAAGGTCTACTAGCTTTTGACTGGATTCCCACTAAGGCTCAACACTCAATTTTATATTCTTTTGCTCTACCCTGTCACAGATCCTAAGTGCAAAGGCTTTTTGTAGGGTCAGGGCAAGGATGACCAGATACAGATGCTCTCCTTACAGAGGAAAAGAAAACCACGCAGAAAGAAACCTCTGTTTTTCACCAAAAATCTGTCCTTCTGCAGCTACATCTGAGGAAAGGCTGATATGGAAGCAACTGACAATAAATCAGAACTGATCTCTCACTCAAGTAACATAAACAAGACAAGCATGACTTTCTGAGCTTTTAAAAGTACTTCTGAGCTGTAACATATTTTTGCTGCAATAATAAAAAGTCAGGCTCTCTAAATAATTGAACACCAGCAGTTCCATGGTAGTTTTGCTCCAAGAAATCTAATCTCTTCCAAGTTCTTCTACAGACTTCTGACTTCTACTCTCTCTCTATATTAGGCTAAAAGGATCATTTTCAGAACTTCATTTTAGCTCAGAGTAGCATTGCACAGGCAGTAGGTTTTTACCCATTTAGAATTATACTTCCTTGCATTTTGGGAACTGTATAATGTTCTTCATTTAACATCCAAAGAGTTAAGTCTTCCTATATTAACCACCTAATCACAAAGTAGCAAATTAGGGGTCAAAAGTGATCAGAAGTATATCAGTTTAGCCATTTTATTAATTTTTCCCATTTCATTGCCTTGTGGTCTCTTTTGAGTGATATTTTAGCTATCTCCACTTCACACATCTGGATTAAATCTCAATTTGTTCAGTGTGCTACACATACTGAAGTGAGAGCTTTTGTATATGTGTTACCATATTTGAAATATGCATTAGAAAAAAAAAGTAATAATGTAAATAATATATATAATGTATATTTCCCTTTAAGGCCTCAAACCTGTTCTGAGAGGTAACCATGCCAATTTTACTGAAAGGAAAATTGAAGTATAAAGTGATTATGTGACTTACTCAAAGTCACTTGGGAAATCTGTGACAAAATGGAACCAAACTCAAATGCCCCATGGCATCCAAGATATTGTCTAGGGCTAACACAACACTGACAGGACACTCCTGCTTTTCTGTAGTGGCAGCTGGAAACACAGTAGGATACTCCACAGCACCTCACATGGCACTGGATATTTCTGTTTCGCATGCTTGTGCAGAAAGTGAAGTACATACTTCTGTTTATGAACCAGAATTTTGTTTCCTAGACTTCCTAAGCCAACTCCCTTGTATTAAATAGGCAACACTGCTTCCAAAATCAAGATAACTTTTCATCATTCAGCTAGTGTTCAGAAGTTAGACTTTCTCATTTGCAGTAGAAATCTTCTGGAAATGAAAGTGGACTGAGAAATAGCCTTTTCAGGTCATTACAATACCGGAGGGAGCCTAGCCAATCTGAAGTCTTCAGAGATATTTTTGGCAACAGAAGTTTTTCAACTGTATCTCCTGGAGCTTTATGCATTTCAGATACTTCTCTTCCTTCTGTTGTATTCCTAATCGATATTGCAAGCCTTTGGCGCCATGTCCAGAAACATACCAAATCAGACTCTGAAAGAATCTCAGGTTTAGCTGTTTAAGATGATAATATAAACACAAGTTCTTTTCTTGCTTTTCCCCTTAGACTCACATAGTTGAGGTGAAGCAAAACAAACCACAGAAACAAATGGTCAAATGAAAATAGAAAACGTCAAATATTTTGGTTCTGTATGAAATCCTCTTTGTTCCGCTCTGCTTAATGTACGAGTCATTGACCATACAGTGGTAATGTCTGTATTTCATCCAATTGACCAGTTTAGGGACATTTTGTAGTTTGGATTCTGAACAGAACCTCACTGTTCAAATGAGACTTTCAGGTATTTTTTGGACTCTGCATGAACCTGTTCAAGGTAGGCTTCTCAACCCATGAAAATTTATGTTAGTAACCCCAAGGAACCACTCTAACTACCTTCTAATCCCCATCAGTCCTTGTTCCACCAGCTACCATTGATAGGTTATCCTTTACTTTACATGATATAGCATCATCCATTTTGGAAATTATCTTCTTTAGAGTTTTTTTATCTATCTCAGATTCTTGCAGCAGCTATACTTTGAAATATCTTTGTGTTTTTAGGTAATTTATACTGTCAGTTATCTTCCTTAGTAAGACAAGTGCCTGTTCTATCAATTATGTCTTATTTAACAATAAAATACATGAGCATAATTGTGCAGTCTTCAATATTATGTTCACAGTATCGTTATGGCACTGCATCATTACTGCACACATGGAAACAACTTGTGGGACTCCTGCCTGCCAATAAAAAATTAACTTTCAAGATTTAAGTGTGCAAGATATTAGAAAGTATTTCTCTTACAGTAAATTTCTTTTGCAGTGTAGCACTATTTCACTCTTAAAGAATACCATTTTATCCTGCGAAATAGGATGTGTACTATTTAGAGGAAAAGTAAAGAGAGAAAGAATCAGCATATCTTTACCCTCCGCACATCTTTGCCAAATGTTTCGCTGTAGCTAGTGCCCAGTATTTCAAATTGAACATAGGGGTTGGCGCCATCTTCTCTGAACTCCATAACACCAGTAAGCCCAGTTATATGGCCCTAAGGAAATAAGTTTCAGAAATTTTAGAACAGAACACATTTGCCTTTATGAACACTCCTTTTCATTAAAGGTATGCCAAATCTGCTTTGAAAATATTTACAGTGAACTTAAATGTGGCTATTACAGGTTCTTCAACAGTTCAAACACAGCACCAGACAAAAGACTTTCATTTTTGAGAAAATTACTTTAGCACTAATATATCCGCCACTGTATGTTGTGGAAAAAAGCCATCAGATCTCCATCGTTCACAGGGACGAACCCCAAAGAAAATGAGAGGGACCTTGATGGACCGTGAGACAGCAGCCCTTACAGTGTAACTGAGGGCAGCAGGTTCGGTTCTGGAGTTGAATACAAAGGCATGAACTCCAAGTCCAAAAGAAAGAGTATGCCTGCTCTGCTGCCAAGAGAGGCATGAAGAAAAGATAACATTTGAAGTATTAATAAAACCTCTCTGTGAAACTACCACAGAGTTTGATTTTGGGTTTGTAGCAAAGAAGCTTGAAGTGACACTAAGGTTTGGATTCATTTAGCAACAAACGATGGCGTCATTAGGATTGGTCAAAGCATAATATGACACCTGATCATATTCCATCATTTTGCTAGAGGAAAACCGTTGCATCAATATATATGGAGAACATTTTTTTTCTGAATAATTGCTGAAGTTAGTGTGGTAAAAAATGAATATTTTTTGCACTAGTATTTGTGATCAAATAACTTTCATACATGAAGTTACCACACATCTGCAAAGTCACAGTACGGTCCACATTTCCGTTAACCAACATTCTACAAGACAGTATAACTGTTAGTGACAACTTATCTAAATCAGATCCCTTTTCTGGGCTACAGTACAGAAATAGATACTTACCAACGCTCAGCTAAATTACGGAGCTAGCTGAGCTGTAGTAAATAAAACACAAATCATAAACCTTATCATTGCTTGGCTCCTCGAGCTCCTCATTTTTTCTATTGGGGAAATTATTATGATGCATGTACACATCAATTTGTATGACTATTCCTAATCACACTACCTCGACAGAAGGTAGCTATGAGAACAACACAAGTAGAACACACACTCAATGGAGCAACATTGCAGGATGTGTAATTTGTTTGTAATAAATCATTTGCTTTTTTAATAGTTGTAGATCATTCCTGGTAATTGTAAATCACTTGCTCGTAATAAATCAAAGAAACGTTAAATAGAGGTCAAAACCCTCTTCTAAAGCTAATCTCAAGTAGAAATGCAGTAACTTTTTCTATTGCTTACACAATTGTGCCTTGTCTGTTCTCACCTTCTTAATAGTCTCTAGCATGGATCGTCCTCCATTCCAAGGCTTGGTGGATTTCCTCATGCAGTTCAGACTTGCCATGCTGTGCCATTTCCTGTCCTCCAGTTTTCTGTGGAAAGCATTGGCCAGCATGAGCACACTGTCATACAGGTACAGGTTGGAAACCTGAAAACAACAATGAGAATGAGCCTCTTTGTGTATTTTAGCATCCTTTTGAAGAAACTGTAAAAAATGTCAAACAAACAAAACAAAAAAACAGAAGACTTCAGTGAAAACTAAAAGGTGGGTATGTTTGACGTGTTGAACAGTCAAGGCAATTCAGACAAGCACCAGTGCTCACTCCCACCTTCTTTCCTGCTTGGCACCTGGGCCCTTCAGGCCAAGGGACTCTGGCACGCTTGCACTGCCTGTGCATTACCTACACCACTGCAATGCAGTGCTGTAAAGACGTAAGAGATCACAGTTCCAATACAAACTCCAGCTATGGAAGGAGAAAAGCTATCTATCCATGAAAGACAAGGATTGCAACTTTGTCAGCCCTTTCACCAAGGAGAAAAAGATAGAATGGAATTAAGTTCTTGTTCTTTTTGTTCATTTCAGCAATCTCCTTGGCGCAGCAAAACATAATACTAATGCAACTGTTTAGAACAGAAGAAGGAGAAATTACAGTATTATTTTGTCTTATCTCTCTCCACCAAATATACAGGAGATTGGTTACTATTGTATTTTCTCTAGATACATTGATTTTAGCCTCCTTATTCTTCAATTCACACATGAGAGAGTGAGAACAATAACTGACGACAAAGGCTCTAGTAAGAACACCACACTAGTAGTGCTCAACTATGTATTTAATTTTTCAAACCAACACATGGCCAGCAATACCAGATCAGATCTTTGACATGCAGCAGTATCCACTGCAAGTGGTAAAACTTTAGCAGTGGAAGTTGGATGACAGAAGTATTTTGAAAAAGAAATTATTAGATACTCTTCACCTGTTTCCAGAGTTTTCGTGCACTTTTTTCAGACCTATGCACAGACTCAAGGGTATTGATTTACTCTTTACTAAACGCAAATCACTGGTTAGCATCAGTTGCCACATACAGCTTTTTTTATTATTAAGAAGATACTCTCCTAGCTGAAGGCTTTACCTATGATGATGCAGGATTTTGTCACTTTTCTTTTAGATTTCTCTAATTCTCCATAGAAGATGGTGTCTAGACACCAGGAAAGGGCTACATGTGGAAGTTAATGCAGCTGCATATTTTGTATAAAACTGTCATTCAGCTGTGAAAGCTTAAACATATATTACTGTTGCATCACTTGCTCCAAATGAACTTCTGACATGATCTTAAGATACTGATCTTCAGAAACAAAATGCTTCACATTCCATAATCAGGAGTTTGACATAAATTGTGAATCTAGGCACTTTGAAAAATCTTCTAGTCTAAGTACATCTGAACGAAAGATACATTAAATAAAATTAATGTTGAAAGTATCAAAATAGGAGGAAAAAAAAAAAAGAGGTTGAATATATCCACTTAAATAAGTGACTGAAAGTAAAAAGGGATCTTAATACGAAAATAATGCAAAAAACCCATGAGGTTATTACCGAGAAACTCTCCCTTCTGGCATTGTCATCTTCTTTCCCTCCTTTTATTTCCAGCCTCCATGAACAAGCAGTCCACATTCCCTATATTTGTTATTTTATCCAATTAACCCTTTTCCTTTTAAAAAAGTCTCCAAAGCAGCTACTTTCCAGATTTCCTCTTTTTAAGAAAAGTAAGTAGCTGAAGAGTTAACAAGAGTCCCAGCAACTAAGGCTTTTCTGCTCAGTTGCATTTGTCTACCTACTTTGCAGATATTTTCCAAACAACTTTCAAATACAGCAATCAAGCGAATCCTTATTATTCAACAGGGCACTTTTCCTCTTCTGTGTTAAGATACTCTCCACAAAAAAAAACCTAAAACAAAACCCCAAACCCACTAAAGAAACCACTGCAAGCGACACACCACAAAACCCACTTGCTTAGAAGTAAATTTTACATGCATAAGGAAAAATCACATTTCTCATGTGGCATCATGATCCTTTTCATTCCCCACTGAATTTGATTTTACACCCTCACTTTCAACTGACAACTCATTGTCTGTTGCCTTGGAACAGCCACAAATCAGAAATGCTTTGTATTTTCTCAGTCTGGCACTGTTCTTGTTCACTTCTGGAAAACTGCAGCCTCATTCCCCAAAACAGTTTACTTGTTTTGCTAGCAAAGAGCTCTAGGGCAAAATATAAGATGTACTTGGGTACACTGCTTTCCTTCTCTTTCTACTTTTTATGCCCTTAGAGAAGCAACCACAGTTCTGCATGTATAATGGACTCAAAGCTTGAGAAAGCTGCTTTTGAGGATCTTAGCCTACATGACCACGCATCCAACTCAAATTACTCTATGTAAAACAAAATAATCACTTCTTGACCAACCTTATCCACATATTTTCATTGGACCTGTAACAGATTTTGTATCGATTTTGTTTCATTATTTTCTTTTGAAAGAATGAGACGAACTGAGTGACAGCAAGAAACGGAGTTTCCCACTACAAGTGTCCTTCTGTCACAGCTCTGGAGTTACATACCAAGACACAAGATAATGTTGCAGAGGACACAGCAAGTTACTTATAGCCATGGAAAAGCTATTCTGCACATACTGTTGTACACACTTACCCATTGGTATTTTGCCACTCAGTTCTCTTCTACTGCAAGTCTCGTCCAATAAATGAGCGTATGGTACTTTTTAATGACTAAAATTCCTTTTTTTCATATAATCATACTCTGAGTATTTGCTCCGGTAAAAAATACATACATACATGCGTTACTACATTTTACCCCTTTTTTACCCCTGCTCACTGAAGAGTCACTATCCTATGGAAGAGGAAGTCAAATTTTACTCACACCATCAACCCTTCCTTTTCAGAATAGACAATATACAAGCTAGAGAAAAACAAACAAAAAAACCCAAAACAGCAAAACCTCCACAACTGAGACTGGATTTGTAAATATTAAGAAAAAAAAAATCTCTTCAATATTATATTTGTTCAGTCTGCTAGTTAAGCCATACATTAATACAAAGTGTACAAGTCCACCCTATTAAGGGCAGAACCCTGTAAAACTTAGAAAGCATGACTCAAAGTGTCTGGTTTTGCACAGTGATCAAAATTCAGTGTGTAAATAGTGCATTTATTTAAAGCAAGAGTATTGTTTTGGTAGTCCTCTAAGGCAAGAGTCACTTCTTTAAAGTGCAAAACATAATCAAGAACAACCAAAAATACCCTGGAAACTTAGCAAAGAATGTCCTTTTGATCTTTCACAGTGTGCAGAGCAAAACCCAGCTCCTGAACACTCACAGTATTACAGACTGAATGTCTTTACCTAATCCCAAATGGGAACTAGCTTTATGATAGAAAACAGAATTACAAAACCAGGTCCAATCTGATGCCTGAGTAGTGTTGTGTGAGTGTAGCTGAACAGCTGATTCCTTCAATACCTACAGTAAGACATATTATTAAATTACTGTGAGGTGTATTATTTTTACCTTCTTTTTTCCTAATTCTTTTCTGAGGTAGAAGAATAAGCGTACCTAAACACCTCAAATATGCCACTCTTCTCAAAACTATATTCACTTTCTACCTGAATTCATTACTATGTATGTATTTTCTTGTAGAAAAAAGTTACTTAAGACACAGAAATTCTGGCCTGATCTTACAGTAAATCCAGGGCTATAATAATTTCCTTCAATACACCAAAATCTCTGTGTATGTACTAGATTGTATTTGCAACACAAATTTGCCGTAACCTCCAGAATAGCAGTGCTGTGAAAAGAAAAATAGTTCAGCGGACAAAGCCTGTATACACTTGTTTCTGCAACTGCACACATGTTAATTTTCAGCTATCAAACTCACTCTGAATACAAACATGACCCCTGAAAGGGAATTTGTGACATGAAATTTTGATTTGAGGGGTCAGCTACACTCTGTTTCCATCAGTGCTGTCAGAAGCATGAGAAGATAATAAATTTAAAAATTAATCTTCAGGTAGCACTCAAAATTGGTAGCAAAGCAAAAGAGAAGAAAAAATAAGGCAAGGTACTTGACTACTTTGGGTCCTCCAAGCCCTGGAGCATTTGTTATTTCCACTAGTTATACATTCACAGGGGGAACAGAGTGGGGAAGGACATATATCTGCCTGCAGGGATTCCCCTTCATCTAAAAAAAATTCCTAAATTGGAGCAAAGTGTTTCCTTTTTGTCCTGTTTGGAGGAAGAAACAGTAATTTTCATGTCCTCTTACGCTTCATTGCTGAGAGCTGTAAGACCTGGAGTTACTGTGACTGAAATGCTTTTCTGCTAAAATTCTGAATTCTGCTAAAAGAATGATAACGACTGTTTCAATAATATATTAGAGTTTGCCCTGTACATGAGTAATTTTAGGCATGTTCTGGTATATCGTCTGAAAATTATCCCAGACTTTATGAATCTTTATTTTGCAGTGAAGAAAAAATCCACCATACACTAGTACAGCAGAGCAGAAATTTTCAGTGAGAATGGAAATCTCTCCCTACCACATTGTTAAATGTCATTTTGTAGGGGATTTTGTGTGAATTTCATGAGATTTTCCAGTGTGATTTTACTTTTAAAGTTATATATGAAGAAAGCTTTTAGCTCCTTCAGAGGCACTAATCACAGACAAGTGCTCTTCTGGGAAGGACAGCAAGCCACAAAGACTGACCCCAACTTCTGAGCTGCCAGCAGAGCCAGAATTCTAGCCAGACAAGACCACTGAAGAGACCAGCTGGGAAGAGAAGCTGACACCCAGATGCCACTGCCTCAAAATCTCATTCCCAAGCTAGGCATCCGTACCCCGCTGCTGCCAAAATCACCCTGTGAGTGGCCACCACAGTAAGCTCCAAGGATGAAGCAGATGGAAGAGGAGATCAAACTAAGCGCAGACTGCCAGCAGCAGAAACGCTTGCTGCCTGGGGAGTGATATCATTGTGTTTGCGTATGTGCACACCAGCGTGCCCTAGAACTGTGTTTCAACTTTCGAAGTTCAAGTACTGCCAAAGACAGTTACGCACTCGTGTCTCTAATGCCAGGACGCATCTTACTAGGAGCAGT